CACTGGGGGATTCTAGGCAGGGGCTCTACCACTGAGCCACGCCCCCACCCCTCACTTGGGATTCTAGGCAGGGGCTCTACCACTGAGCCACCCCCACCCCCCAGCACAGTGATGTGGCAGGTGCGCAAGTGCAAATCCTGGACAGCAGATACAGTGGATGAAACTGTTAGCATTGGAAAGATTTGGTAAACAATAAAACCTAATCTGGGTGTAGTGGTGCACCCTGTAATCGTAGAACCTGGGAGGCTGAGGGCAGGAGGATCAGAAGCTCAAGTCCAGGTTAGGCTACATAACAGCCTCTTAAAAGGAAATAACAACAAAACAACAGAAAACCTCAACTCTGAAGCATGACTGTTTAAAGATTTGAAAGTGAATGACAGAAAGGACAAGAAAGCAAAGAAGCAGAGATACAAGACAGAAAGATAGGAGGAAAATCACCAAAGAAAACGACGATGAAACGGGTAAGAGAGAGAAACTAAGACCAGAGGCCAAGAGGGACAAAGCTAGACTCGGTGAGAGTCATGGAAAGTCGGAGTCAGTCTTGGCGTTAGGAATGGCGCGTTCTGAGGAGTGACTCAGCACACAGGGGAGCCAGCTTCTGAGAAAAAGAAAAAAAATGCAGGCGGAGGCCGAAAGTACAAAATAGGTGTTTTAATTGAAAACTGTATAAAAGGGCAAGAAATGTGCCAAGGGACCCAGGACAGGCCCAGGGCACTGGTGGGAGGGGCTGGGCATGATAGGCTGGTGCCATAGAAGGCACCCCTCTGTGTCTGTCCAGCCTAAGTCTGCCTGGCATCCTTGCACACATGCGGGCTAGAGGGAGGCAGCGGTGCTCCGGAAGCTCCCGGTGCTCCGGAAGCTCCCGGTGCTCAGGTATAGTGGGAGATAAGGCGCAGCTGCTCAGGCCCGGGGTCGAGCAGGCGCACAGTGATGTGGCTGGTGCGTGGGTGCAAATCCTGGACGGCAGACACAGCGGAAGGAACCATCAGTGTTGACACAGCGCGCATTGACGCAGAGTGGGGAGGTTGCCTCAGCCTCGTCACACTCGTTGACGTCTGGGGGGAGGGGGGGAGCGGGTAGAAAGACTGTTACTCATGTCCAGGAGTGAGGCCATCTCCCCAGTCTTTTGAGGTAGAGGACCATGGACGTGGGGGCTCTCCTGTGGCATGCAACATATCACTTGCTACCTCCTGGCTGTGTGAGCCTAAGCCGGTGGCACAACATCTCTATACCTTAACTTGCAAGATGGAGGAACTGGAGGGGTGGCTCAGTGGTAAACCACTCACCTAGCATACGTCAAGCCCTGGGTTTCACCAGTAACGCAAATAACATCTGCAGGATTCCTTTCACATCCCCAAACCCTCTGCCACTTACAGGAGCCCGGCTTTCCTGGTACTGTGACCCCATTTTGTTCAGTCAAGTACCACCCCTGAGCAAGAGCATCCCTCTCGGATGGTCTGGCCCCTGTCTGTCATGAAGTTCTTTCTTGGAGGTTCCTGATCACCAGCTGGTCAAACTCGCTTTCATTTTACCCTTCTCTCTCCTCCCCTTCCTCACCGACGCAGGACATGCGGGTGATGTCCAGGCGGTAACCATCGAAACAATCGCAGGTGAACCCTTCCGGAACGCGCACACAGCGGCCATGGGCGCAGCCGTCCAAGATACCACACTCCTCGGCCTCTAGGCCCTCATAGGACTCAGACAAGGCTCCTGCAGAGAACACAGGTAAGCCAGAGACTGGAAATCTCTGCGTTAGGTCGCTTGGTCTTTTTCGGCCTATGGTCCTGGCTTCCCAGGATGGGTGACTCATCCTAACCTGCCTTTCCCACCCCAGACTGCAGGGGGCGCTATGGTAAGATCGCTTACCTTGTTCAGTCCCCCTAGGTTTTGCTATACATTCCGGGCTGGCCTCAAACTTACAGTAATCCTCCTGCCTTTGCCAAGTGTTGGAATTACAGGCGTGAGTCACCAACACTCCTGCTTTCCTAGTGCTCTTTTATATTTTTGACCCTGTAACGCCTTCTACCTTTTCTCTCAGCATCTCTAGTTTTGTGGTTTTGTTTTTGTTTGTTTGTTTGTTGTTGTCTACCTGCTTGGTTTCTCTGGCCGAACTACTCACCTGTATAGCTTCCACGCTCAGAGGATTCCTCAGGCTCTGGGAAGGAGCCACGGGTGTCTCTGGACCTATAAGGCCAACCAGTGCCTCGGCTGGGTGGGTCAGGGGCCTCAGACTCGCTATAGGGGCCACCATCATCCTCAAAGTCCGGCATTTCGAAGGGCGGGGCTCCATAAGGTGCCTCCCGGCGAGCAAAGGGTCCAGGTGGGGGTGGGTAGGGGTCGTAGGGTAACACAGGCGGTGGATACAGATCTGGCCCATAAGGAAGACTCTGGTAAGGCGGGCCTATATCTGGGCCATATTCATAGGGAAGTCCAAAGCCACCTGGGCGCGGCGGGCCATAGGCAGGTGGGCGCAGCACGTTGCAAAGGGCCTCAAAGTCATCTGCAAACAGGAACCAAGATATACCACAGTCAGGACCACTCATGGACCCGTCCCCGGGCAGCAGAGGAGATTGATGAGGCTTAGGGGAGGGCTGGAGAGAGGGTGGAGCTGGGAAGGAAGGATCTGGGCATTTGCAAGCACAACTGACAGTTCCCAACCGATTCTGGGATTCTGAGATAGTAGGATCCAGGGTCCTCAGACTGCAGCTACGAACCAGTTTAAGGTAATGGAATTTGGGAGACCCACTGGGAGCTAGGGCTAGGAACCTGAAGAAATGAGGTGAAGATGTTTTGTGTCTGGTTGAACACTGAGACTTATGGGTTCAAAGGTGTCTGGGAAGAGCTTGAATCTCTGGGATCTGAGGAAATCAAGACTGGGGTTTGGCTCTTGTTCATACAGAGCTAAAAGGGGGGGATCAGAGATCTTTGGGGATGTGTTGGAATCTTGGTACTGGTGTGTAGGGGGGCCAAGGCAATGAGTGTTAGCAGCTGTTTGTGCTATTACCAGAGTCTAGAGGACAGGCTAGTGCATGTGGGCAACTGCTGTTGGGATCTAGGGCCCCAGAGTTTAGAGTGGGGTGTCACACAGATTGTGTCTTATGGGTCTAGAAACCAGGAATTTAATTAAGATAAGAGACCTCAGAGCTGATGGGACGGGACCTATGGGAGCTGCCGCTTCAGGCCTGGAGATTTCAGTTGCTGACAGAAGTCTGTAGAATTGTGACCAAGATTTTGGGATAGGTTGTGACACATGCAAGGATGCCAAGAGGTCCTTTGGGGACAGTCTAGGGCTGTACAGTACCTGAGTCCTGGGCAGGACAGAGAGCACAGTCCATACCCCAGGCTTCACCATAGAGACAGCAGCACTCTGTGTAGGTGGCCTGCCGGTCTAGTCGTGGGCGACTGCAGACGAGGTCAGGCCCCACTTCCTGCCAGCATACTCCCAGATTGTCATCTATAGGCAATGACAGGATGCATCAGGGCACCTGGGCCCTCTCACACAGGCCCAACTCCAGTCTCAAGAGGGTTCTGTGAAACGGGGCAGTCATTTCTTTTCCCTGGGTATTAGTTTAGGTTTTTTTTTTTGGTTGGGGGGCGGGTGTCAGGCTGGCCCAAAACTTGTGGTCCTCCTTCATCGGTCTTTTGTGTAGCACAGATGTGTTTAAATGAAGTCTCAAAGTTTAGAGTGTTTTGTTTGTTTGTTTGTTTGTTTGTTTGTGGGAAGAGAAAATAGGTAAAAAGATTTGGGGGCCAAGGACCA